TGCATCACTTACTCACAAATACTCGTATTAGCATAAAAAAACACTGAGAAAAATTATAATTAAAAATACAAGGTTGCGCCAGCGATATTAAAGTTACTTTCAACAAATTACTCATGATTTTAATTTGTTACATCAAAAAAATAATATTACCAACTTGATGTGATTCAGTTTTTAATTTAAGCAATTGCAAAAAAGTTATAAGAGACGCTTACGCAAACAATGAAATAAGAAAGCTTCAAATATTAACTCATATTTACTATATATAGCTTTATAATTACTTTTTCATTATAATAACTTCGCTAAATTTTACAGAAAATTCTTTATTAAAAAACTATGAAATATTAAGCAGGCTTACCAACACCGCGTTATCGAATCTCAGAATGGTAACAGGCTCCTGCAGATCTGAGGTCAATTATTGCTTAGTCTGATAATGTGATAAACAATAAACCAGTCAAGGCGTAGAGAGTGGTTATGAAGAAACCTCGCAGTTAATAGAGAGATAAAGTGCTCAAGTGCACTGAATCAACTAGCCTCAACATAATAATTAAACAGGTAAGATTTACTCTACTTATATCGTTCAAAGCTTTATAGAGACGAGAGCCGTTCTCTAGGCACCCTGAAGAATTTTACCTAATGCAACTATTTTTTAAGAAAAAGAAACAAAATTTTATACTACTTTTTTCCAAAATCATAAACTCACTTTTAATAGGTAAATATACTCGTAACACATGGTATTTTATATTAAATCTGGGGATAATTTTAAAAATTTTGACGTCTTTATTGCTGTGTCATTAATCTCACCTCTTGCGACAAAAGTAACAAAGAACATAAAAAAGATTCATAAAAAAAATTAATAAAAATTTCAAATTTTAAATTAATAAAAAATTAAATTAAATTTTTAATTAAATTAAGAAATTAATATGTTCTTTATTGACTGATATTCGAGTACAATTAAAATTAAGTAGATGATTAAATCAAATAATACAATCTTGACAAAAACAATAATGTTGACCGATGTTCAGAGATATAAAAATTACCTAAATTAAAAATATGCTTTAAATTGTGCCAATTTTTTAAGAATTTTTCTAAGCCCACATTTTTTATTTATTATCTAAGTTATTTAATTCATAAAATATTTATTTTAGCCCAAGATACTGTAATCAGAGAAATTAAGAATAGGGTAGTGTTCAGGAAATAAAAATGTACATATAATATAAAATATATGCAAACTCTGTAAAGTAGGTTCTATACTACTTTTTATTGACGCAACAGGGCTTAAAGACCTACTCTAAGCCCAAAAGGGGGCACAATAGACCCGCCGGTCGCAGTGCCACATCCCCTAAAAATAATAATAAATAATAATAAATAATAATAAATAATAATAAATAATAATATATATGTATACATATTTGTAAAAAAATCTTGAAGTCATTAAAACAAATCAGTTCAAGTTTTGAATTGAAGTGTTCGGTCGCAAATGGGAAGCAATAAATGTTTCCAAAAATAAATATTTACAATCACTAACAAAAAAGTAAGTTCTTTATTCTTTAATATTTTTTAAATATTTTACCAATTTTATCAGTGAAATAAGAGCCAGAAGCCGAATGAATGAAAGAGAATGGAAATTTTATTGGTAAGGACATGTATTCTTAAAATATTAGTATCAAGTCTTATCGTATAAACATCACAGCATATAAGATCGGTGTTAGAGCATATTCAAGCGATAAAAGAATCTTATAGCATATATCTTATATCGAAATACTTTTGATACACCTTCGATCAAATTGTGAAAATATGAACATACGGAAGGTAAGGTTTTGTTCATACCTGTATTGATCTAATAGTAAATAATATTAAGTATAAAATTTCTAATGGATTGTTATTTGAGGAAAATCCTATTATTATTATTGAAGAAAATGTGTATACAAGAAACTCAGCATAATTCAATATATAGGCTTAAGAATAGTCTGTTGAAACAGTCAACAGGTAGTAGCTCTTTTAAAAGCAGTTGTAAAATATTATTCAACAAATAATTATATTCTTTATGATCCGAAATAACTAGTATAAATGACAATTCGGTTAGAGTAAACGAAGAAACTGATATTAACAATTAGTCAACCAATATAAAAATTAATATAATAAAACAATAAGTAACAATTAAAATGAGAATTGTTGATAGCATCACGGATTATATACAGTACGTTCGGAACTGAACATATCTTTTTAAAACTCTATATTTATTGGAAATTACACAGGCCACTAATATACTGTCAAAATTTTACGATATTTGGTAGATACAAATATTTTAATTATGTACCAATTAAAAATAAAAAAATTTATTTGTAAAATACTACAACTACTAAATAGTTATTCACTCCGGCCTCAAATATTGAAATACATTCCAAGAATTGATCTTCTTGGATTGATTGATCTTCCTTAATCCTTTCTTTTAGTAATTATTCCAACTGCATAAAACTAATTATTTTATAAGAGTGATACTTCTTTCTCTCCCACTTTTAAGTAGAATATCAAATAATTATTTATAAATAGATTAATTATAGATTATATTAGTTTATAGATTATATATAATTACATATAAAATAAAGAATATTATATTCAAATATTTGGATTTTGTAAACGCATTCTGCTGAAATTAACCGTAATTAATGTAATAAATTTATAAATTCTTATTGTAAAAGCTTTACCAACCAAAATAGATCTAAGTTTGCCATTGTTGGCTTAATATATTTAAAAGTATAGGAAAAAACTATAACTTCAACCTAATTATAATACACAAAGTACAACTATAAGTTTAAGTTAATAATATTACTATATATATATATATAAAGTAAATAATATTTACATATTGTTCTCCATTTGTTTATTCGTTTAATCTTTTTATGGCACTATTAATGAGTCAAACTTAATTATGCGAAACTTCGTTATCTTATTAGAGTGATTTTAACTTTTTATCACGAGGTATAATTGTTATTACAAAACATTAATAAACAGTTTTGTAATAAAATTTAATAAACTGAAAAAAAAATTTCAGAGATTTTTAATCACAATTATTTTTACATATCTCTTTTTGTGCAACATGACACATAATAAAAAAACCAGCTGTACTATACCTAGCTTGTAACAGTTGGCTTTATCTTATAGAAAATATCTTGATTTATATACTGTGCCAAAAATTTCACATAACGTAGACCCTATCAAGTGCAATACACCTTTACTAGCGCTTAACCCTACTTTTCAGCCTTTGTTGTAAGAACGGTTCGCTTAAGGCTTTAAAAACTACAATAATCCTGCTAGCTACGTAACATACAAAAGGAACATTTAGAAAGCTAAATAGATCGTTCAAATATTTAGCTCTCTTCGAACACTATAAGACAAACTTTTCGCATAAACAATCTTTTTGTTTGGCTCGTGCAATATTATACATTTGTTCATACATTTTGTAAATGGAGGGATTGACTTCTAAGTCACCATTTTTTCAAAGTTAACAATATTAATTAAAGTAACATTCCAAATTGCACACTTGTATAGCATATGCCTCATATATAATTTTTTACAGGTTACTTAAGGTAAGGTCTTTAAATCCTTCGGCGAAATTTCTTTTAGGCCAGCAATCAGTTAAAAATACCTTCCTCGAAGCGGTAATTTTAGTTTTGGGAACAAAATAAAGTCAAATGGGGCAAATTTCTGGAGTGTCAAAATTATAATTATAAAAACAGTTTATTTAAACACATTTAGTAAAAGATAGCGCTCAAATCTCAAATCAGACACGACTGTAAAGTCACAGTATCTTTACGGGTGTTTTCAAATGATAAATTCCAGTTACTTTTTACACAGAATGTACTATGTCTTGATACATATCCTCATATACTAAAATAAAAACTTTTTCGCATTTTTTTATTAATAATTTTTATTTATAAATAATAGCATCACATTTATTATGTTGTGATCATCACTCTTTATAATAAAATAAATATATACTTCTACCTCTTAAAATCTAAAGTGCCTGCATTAAAGTACATTTCTTATACTTTAAAAGCAAGTGATGATTTTCTTTAAAAACTGTAATTTTTTTAAGTGTGCTTTTAAACTGGTAATTTAAGTAATTAACTGTATTTAAAGTTGTTAAGTTAAAACCAAATAAAAATTAACCGGCATTTTTCCTAAAGCATTTGAGTTTTTTATGTTTTTTTTAGTAGATTTAAGCGAACCTAAAGGGGGAAAAGTTCAACACGTTGACTGCTTACACGCTGAGCGTATGCTTCAATGCGCAAACGCAACTGCAGACGTTGATGACGTAAAGAAATATAATGTCGGTTTCTGCAGAAATTCGGGTAAAAGAAGCCTTTCATAGTATCTCATACAACCGATATTATTCTTTTAGTCAGATTTCCTAGTAAATACATTAAATAAATGTTTACTCAATAAGAAAACTAAAAGGAATAATTTAACATAATTCGTACAGAGAGAACTTCACATATGTATATTAAATGGGAACAATTTTTAAACTCTGTAATTTAATTTTACATATACTCTTACTCTTTTTATGTGCTTTGAATTAATATTTTCCCATGAAATAATCAAAAGACAAATAAAATATTTTTTATATGTCGATTTTATAATATTAAAAATGATCAATACGTTAACAAACTAAAACAGTCATGACTTAGCCGATTATATAGTTTTCATACTTTTATTACTCAAATAAAAAAATAAAAACGAATTATACAATTTTTAATATTTTTTATATCTTCAATATCACTAATTTATTACTACTATTTTTAGTATTCTACTTTTTTTTGCAATTTTCACATTGCATTTACTAGATACGACATAATATTTATAGTCGAATTATATATACCTTCTGCTCAAAAAGTATCCGGATTTTGTTGTTTGTTAAGTACTCCTTAAGTAATAGACCTTTTTCGAAAAAAAATGTTTTTTTTCGTTATGTTGGTACACCCTTTCTTGACATATGGTACAAATTTGAGAGCCATCTGTCAATTAGTTTGTTTACAGCAGCTGTTAATGTGAGACTATCTCAAGTGTTAATCTGAGACTACCTCAATTCTTGTTGTACGCGATTTTTTGAGCAAACACAACACTCATCGCTCAGGTACCATATTCGTCAGATCTGGATCCGTGCGACTTTTTCATGTTCCCGAAACTCAAATTGCCCCCTCGTTTTGAGTCGATTGTATGGGTGAAAGAGAATTCGCCGAAGGAACTAAAAGCTATACCTGCACAGGTCTACAAAAAGAGTATGGAAGATTGGGTTAAGCGTTGGCATATGTGTATCGCTTCAGAAGGAGCATATTTTGAAGGAGATAAAATAAATTTGGAATAAAATTTAAATTAGTGTGTTTTATTTACAAAATCCGAGTACGTTTTGAGCAGAAGGTATATACTCGATTTATTTATATATATAAAGTCATATGAAAATTTTAAAATCAAATTATATAAGGATGTTCGGAAAGTAATTTCGATCTTTTCTTTTTTGAAAATGAAAGACGATTGATTGCGTCTAAATATTTTATTGATATTGACAATATTTAATTGTCCATTCAGGTCCAAAACCTTTTGTCATCTGTCTGACAGTAACCCGATTCCATGCTTATAAAATTCATGTTCTTTGCTAACAATCAACTAAATCAGAACTAAACCAGATCTGAAGATTATAGTAATTTTGGCAATTTAACCTATCCAAGCCGTAAATATAATACATATATAATATATAATATATATATAATATATATATATATATCATATACTATCATAATTAATATATAATATAATAAATCTATATATATCTATATAAAAGATACATAAATAAATATCATATAATAAATAATAATATTACCTTTTATACAGCTGACAAGTAACTACTAATCAGTTTACTATAAAGATATGTTTTGTCCATCAAAAGCTTTGTGCTCAGTTAGGAAAATATATATACATACAGTATCATATAAAAAACGATTTAACATATATAAAATCTAAATATAATAATAAATTTATAATAATATATAATATAAAATATAAATATATAAATAAATTATCAATATATATATATATATATATATTAAACTATTATATATATATATAATTATATAAATATGATAAATAATAATATATATATATATAATAAGTAATTATAAATATATATATATATATATATATTATATATAAATATATTATAAATATTATATAAATAATATAATATAATATAAATAATCATTAATAAATATTTTAATGAATAAATATAATATTAATAATATAATTATATATATATATATATATTATATATATATATATATATTATATATATTATATATATTTTATATTTTATGTACATTTAAGAAATAAATGTAGTATATCAATGATATATCTAGAACCCGCCATTGGATATATATAGATAAGTACATTTTATAACGCAATATATTAAAATTGAATATCTTTAAAATGCATATTTATAAAATTATATATAGAAACTAACTTTGTGCTTTAGTCTACATTAGTATTAAATGATGTGGATGTTCTGCTATAAAAAACTTTAAATATTTTTAAATGCTTACATTGACTTACATAGATTTATACAATTGAACTACATGTATAAGTGACCTATTTTAGCTGCTAAGATACAAGGAAACGTAAATTACTCATATTTTCAATTTCTATATTTCTAATGCGGTTTTCTTTAATTTATGAATTCGCATTTAATGGAGAGCATTCAACATTCAGCATTCAGTATTCAGTATTCAGCATTCCAAACAATTTATTAATACTTGATTTTTATTTCAAGTCTGAAATTGTAGTTCTACTCGTCGTGGCTTGATAACAATTGAACTGATTGTCTCTGTAGAAAAGTAAAGATTCATATTCGTATTTATTGAAGTACGCTCTAGAAAGAAAGAGTGGGTAATGAAAGACGTTAAGGTGAAACTAGGCACACATAAGTATTTTTATCTAAGCACAAAAAATGTTATAAAAAAATCTTTAAAAAAAAAAAAAACTAAAATCAAGAAGAAAAAAAGCAAAGTGAAACGTTATATAAAATAATTGGAATCACACCAATTCAAACTTAAACACTTACAGTTAATGCATACATAGATACGAATATGTGTACACATTGTATGTAGAATTTTTTTTAATATTCATTATATACAATTTATAGATACAATAACTTACTTATGATTAACTATTTTGAAATCTCGTAGAAGGAGCAACAACCACAACGAGAACAAACGGCGTATCATGATTTCAAAATAATGAAGAAGCAACCGCAACTAAACTAAAAAATAAAAAGTAAATTTGTATCTGAAATCGTGTACAACAGCAAAAAGTTATAAATCTTTTGATATTAATTTGATATCATGACGAATGTAAATTGTAATCTACACATTATAACTTATTTTTACTATTATTTTTACTGTTTATTTTGTATCTGTCAGCCTATGCCAACCTATGCCTGTGGGTGTTTGATCGAACGAATATTTCTTACAGCTGTTGTTTGGTTGTGTTGTTGTTGCTGCGGTTATTTTTGTGGTAAATACCGTAGTACCTACGGTACCACAGTTAAAGTTTCGCTACAAGATACATAATCAGCTAGACTACTGACCGTAATTTGGAGGTAATAAAATATCATAAAACTTATTTAGAATTTAACTTTAATAGGGAACTCAAGGTGGAAACGTACATAAAATCGAGAGGTTATGACTGATAATAAATAACTTCTATATTTGTAAGGCAATTTTTATCAAACAATGTCATTGATTTTTTACTACCAACTTTGTTCCGTTCTTCTTGAAATACAAGTATCTACAAAATACAAAATACAAAATAATGAAAACAAAGATTGATCTATGGGTGTTTTGTTTGTAGTAGCGTACAGTATTAAGGGCAAAAATTATGTTCTTTGTGAAGCGACTGTTTTTTGTGATAACGAACCGATAAAGGTTGATCGTTGCGATTAAAAAAGTGATAAACATCTTTATTGATTTATTTTTAAGGTCTGGAAAATTATCAATAGGGAATTTATTTTACATTCGTATAAAATATATCTTTAAACTATAATTGCAAAAAATATGAAGTTGAAAAAGATAACTAACGCATAATTATTATAATTATTTAATAAATCAAAAATTAAATGAAGGTGAATATATCAGCAATACGAAATGATAAAACCACTTTATCAAACATAGCAAAGAGTATAGTTTATAGTTTTTACAATAAATTCATTAGTTTAAATTAATTAGACTACAATTTTGTTTAAGATTACTTGTTTTCAATACTATTTAATAATCCACTCAACTTTAACTAACAAATAAGAGGGATCCATAGTAAAATATTGCTCATATCACTCACTCATTTATATTAATTTATTTGCATATTAACAATGCAGTGATAGTTTCTAAATGTGCTGACAAAAGTGTGCTCTCA